GGCCCCCGGAAAGGAGCAGCAGCCGCTGCCTTCTCATCCCGAGCAAAATTGGCGGATGGGGACTGAAATATTTGCTGCGATAATTTGAACCAGCAACGTTTTCTTCCATTTGAAGCTGCCGATGAATAAAACTTTAGAACCCTTTTGTGTTATTATTAAACATACACACATGTATGTCACGAGTAATTATATGAGCAGGGAGCTTACTAAGCCTGCTTTCCCGTGACTGCTTTACATGTGCATTCCCTGCTCTCTGATAATGGGGTTGAGCACACCCCGAACCCTTCCTCTCAACAGGGCAGTCACCTCTGAGTAGCGCCTTTAGTCAGCCACCAGTTCTCACGAAAGAGTGGCGATTTAGTGTTTTGGAGATACCTGTCCCTCTATTAAATCTGGCTGAAAATACTTGATGAGTTTAAAAGTTATTACATGGGGAATGACAGGCAACATAGTAACATATACCCCGTTTCCTCATAATGAAAAAGATGCAAATCAAGATGTTGGAATTCATAATTTCTTGTTATTTTTTTAAATCCTCAAATTATCACATTGTAGTGAGAGCATTGATTGCCCCTAATATGGGACTAAAGTCAAGCCTAAAACACAGGTCTCTACAGAGAAATAAAGGCTTGCAGTAGACAAATAGGTTTTTTTTTTACTTCAAAAGAAATGCAGACCTAATTCAACAGATGGGTATTTGGTAGGTTTGTTTGAAGAGATTCTTTAAATCTACGGAACTGCGTAACACAGCAATTGTAGTTCTTTGGAGATTCAATTTTTACAAAGAAAGGTCACTAATAATTGATTAGGCTAAATATGTATTTAGAGTATTTGATAATTTAACTAGTTATTGAAGGTAGACGACCATAACTGTTTTATTGCATAGTGCTAACTTCCATTTTTCCCCTAGTGAAAATTGGTTCAACCTCTGAAATCCAGATTTGATTCACAAGCCAGTAGTTACTTGAGCATTCAACACTTTTCAGCATGCAAATGTATACAGCAAAATTCAGTATTATTGAAAGCAGTGGGAAATCAGTGGGAATTTTGCCATTGCCTCCCAGGGTAACCAATTTTTAAAACAAAAGTCTGAATAAAAACTGTTCAGGATTTAAAGCATGAGCTTATCAACACATGGCTAAACATCAGTGGAAACGGGACTAAAGCATTATTTTGGATGGATTGCCCCCTAACTTCTTCTGTCACAGCTTTTTGAAGTCTGTTCAGACAAATTCCCATTGACTTCAATGGCAGCCTTACATAAGTAAGAATTTTCCTGATCATGTCCTCATTATTCATTTCAAATGCTGCTGCTCAACTTTTAGAGCTAGAATTATTCAGGAAAATAAATCCGACAGTTAATGAAGCAGTTGACTGAACGGTGCGAATGTTCTTTTGATGATTAAACCGCTTTCTTCCCCCCTCCCCAGATTCTGAAAACACTGCGACTACCGTCACGGCTCTGTTGGCCAGTCTGAACAGTTGCTGTAACCCGTGGATCTACATGTTCTTCAGCGGGCACCTCCTGCAAGACTGCATACAGAGCTTCCCTTGCTGCCAAAAAATAAAGCAAACGCTGAGTAAAGAAGATTCAAACAGCAACAGCAGGCGACAGACTTCTGTTACCAACAACAGAAGCCCAACCCACAGCTTGAACACCTGGAGAGAGTCACCCCACTCCAAATTGACCAGCTTCATCCCCATTCCAACCTGAGACAGGCCCCGGGGCAGGCAGGGCTTGCAGCCCCCTAACAGCGCTCGGGAAGGTTAGCACTTTACGCTGGTCAAAGGCACCAGTCGTGGTAACAAGGAATGACTAAGATGGCCGTAAGACAAAACATGCTGCATTGCTCGATAAGCTATTCTGCAGCGTGTAAATTATTTTCTGAAAGGTATTTAGGATTTGGGCAACTGATCAGGAAGGCGTGACAACAATAAAGCAATTATTTTTCTAAATAGAATTTCTTATTTTTTTTTTTTTTAGTTGTTTCTAAAGTACTAAGTGCGTTGTTTGCTTGTTGTTCAAAGCAGTAAAAATAGCGGAGTTGGCATGTGTTGGGGTAACTCCGCTCTATTATAGTGTTAATGCCTAAAACTTCTCATGATTGTCAATGAAGTCACAGGGAAAGAATATGATATGAGCAAGATCACAATTTAAACACAAAAAGAAAAGAGTTGGGAGAAAGTCTTGACTGTCCAGATAAGGAATACGGTTAGACAGTGTCTGAGCTATTGGGAATTTAGTTGATCATACTGCTTTATCTTGCAAAGGTCTAGCAATTCTCAGATAATAAAATCTAACAGCCCTTGTGAAGGCAAATCCTTCAGTGCTGCCGATGTCTGTATGTGTATTGTGGGGTTTCATTTTTAGGGTGATATTTCCTCTTCCCTTCTTGTGGATGGAAGTTATACAGCATAATTTTTTGTGTTGTTGCACCTACCTTGATTTTTTTGAACTAATTTGAAAAAATATATCGATAAATAAGTATGATAAGCTATGACTAGCTCAGCACTGTTACAAACAGATACACTAAGAAAACTCATCGTGACTACCAGAACCACTTGCTCTATGGGTAAGAACTGCATCTTTTCTTTTTTCTTCACTAAGACAGCTAGGATCAAGCCACATTTGGTTGTCAAGCAAATAGCCCCATAAATTCAGGAGAATGTGGCCATTTGGTAAGAGCTGAAGAATCGGTATATTCCAAGTCACAGATCTGAGAATCAAACTTACAAGTCTTCTGGGAACATATTAAAATTGTCAGTGTTGTTGTTGGGGGGGGGTGTTGGCAGATCATGACAATATAGGCTTAGAAATTGGCAGTAAACTGCAATAAATAAGTTTTGCTGTGGTTTTTAAGTCCTGAGGGTCTCTTTGAGAAGTACAGCTACCTGTCTGCTCCATTTTCCTGAGCTCTCTGGGTCCTGAAATCCAGGCGTTCCCCTAGCACCGCGCAGGGCTTCTGATGCAGTCCCAGCTGGCTTGCTAGAGCAGTGGGACACGTGCACGGCTGCATAACGTGCATGCTTATGTTTGCAAGGAGGAACCTCAGCAGCAGGTTTGTCTCTTTCCCACCAAAACCAGACAAACAAGACTGCTTTTCTAATTGCCTGAGGAGAGAAAAAAATTGGGCCCGCAACTGTGGCTTTCACTGAGGATGGTGCTGGCCCCAAGCCTGTCGCAATAATGGTAGCAGAAATTAATAGAGCTAGATGCAGGATAAGATCATATTCAACCTGTTGTCCACTCCAGAAGCTCCCAGACATATCACTGACTATTCCAGGCAAAGAATAGGGAAGATTATAGCTCAAAAAAAAAAAAAAATTAGATTTTGTTGTCACTACAGAAAATCTTAGCTGTTCTCGCTTCGTTTCTTGTTATCATTTGCTCTTCAGGAGAGCAATCTGGTCTAATGTTTTGTTGTTGTTCAAAACACTAGAGCCCGAAGGACAGGGTGGTGGAATGGCTTATATTTAACAGACTATCTTTTTGACCACTTTTAGTACACAGATGTGACTACAGCTCTCACCAGTTCTGGGTGAAGGTTTGTGAACCTGAAGTTATATTTTAGCCCAAAAAAATGCATGCAGTGGCACTGGGTGTGTGTGTATTTGTGCACATTATATGTACTGCATATAGTTCGCAAGTAGGTAGTTCACAGTTACTGAAATTGCAAATGTTTCAAGTTAAGTACACTATCCTTTGCCTAGTTTTCTATTTATTTGTGTTACTACTTTCTTTGTACATAAAAATATATTAAAAAGTAATTAGCTGTACTAACAGAATTTTCATGTTTGCGGAATTGAATTATTTTTCTATTACACTTTATACTCAAACAGAGAAGACAACGAGAAAACAAATGTAGACTAATGTTGATAAGAAAACTAAGCTGGCTAATGACCAATATGTAAAAAAAAGTAAACAGACTCAAAATTATAATTTTCAGTTTCTTCCAAATATGTTACAAAATCTAGGCTTACACTTGGGGCTTGTCAGCATAAATGTACCCTGTGAGTGTTCTACAGTTTCTGTAATTAAATTGACAACACTATTTAGCAGTATTTAGGTTCCAGGCATTTTTGTAAATACTGAGTTTTGTTTTTCACATAATTGTAACATTGGAAGACACAGCCCGTATTTTTTAATTGTTCATCTGTGGAGATGCGTTGGGTTTTTTTTAACAGCTGCTTTGGGTTATCATGAGGGCACACTAATGAAAACAGAAGGAAACAAGAAATTGTGCAACCATTGCACGTTTAAAACATGGAAACATGCTCTAATAAACCTTTATATTTTTTGATGAGAAGCATTTTGTTTCTTTCGCTTGACTAGATTTTGCAGGGCCAGAAACATATTTGGTGATGCTCCATATATTTTACAAAATGTAAAATTTCTTCATTAATTTTAATGAGTTGTTTCCATGAAAAGCTTTAAGGAGTGAACAAAACTAAAATGTTTTCCTATTACACATAGTGCATGAAGGACACATGCAAAGAAGGAACGTGCAGTCAGCTTTCCACTATATGCTGCTAGCATTGTTAAAACATGTTACATAGCAGTTATTCACATTTTAGAGGGGTTATTTTGATATTTTTGTTTTAATTTTGGGGAACAAAATATTTAGCTTCTAATGTAAAACACGATCGAATGGCTGAGCCTGCACTCTGTTGTTTGTGCTGGTGTTACTAGAACTGCAGCATTTTAAAGACAATTAGATGGCAGAAGTGGAGCACGTGAGATGATACAGAAGATGGAAAGGATTTTGTTCTTTTACATAAGAAACATAAGTTGCCAAAAAGCTTTTTTTCATTCATTTCTTTTTAAATTTGTAGGTAAAGATATTGTTGGCTCAGAAAAAAGAAGGGGTTTTTTTCTGTATTACCACATCAAGACCAAAGTCTATGAGAAGACACAAGTTCATGTGTGCCCAATCCTGCAAAGACAAAGGTTTTGTCTGCAGCAAATCTTATGGCCAGTTCCAAATTGTCCAGATTGAAGGACCTTATTAAAATGCACACATGCTCCTTTCTAATTCGTGCATACGGAAACCAGGGCAGAAGGAAAGGAGCTGCAGAGGTAGATGTCGTCCCAGGGCATGTACTGGTGACCCAGCTTTGGGAAGCGAACCCAGATCTTACAGTAGAGCTATTGCTGAAATACAGAGTTACTTGCTACGTAGGGGAAGCTCTTACAGAGTTGTCCTAGATTGAGTTCCCACCTACAGAAAGGACTAATTAAATACAATGTCCTCTTCTAAAAAGTGTCTGCCTGAATTTCAGTTGTACAGTCCCTTCTGTACAGGATGGGAAGAAGTCCTCTCTGTACGTGGAAGACTGGGGAGACAGAAAAGAGTTGAACGCTAGTTTGGAGCTTTAGTTACTGTTACAAGGTAGTTTTCTGTGTTTTTCTTTAGGATTGGGCTTTACTGGAAAATGTAGCACTTGCTACTTGGGTAGAGGAATTACAGGGTGTGTAAATGAACAGGTTTCAAGGTCCAGGAACAGATCACAGCTGCTCCACGGGAAGCAGTCCTGGCTGGTTCAGGTAACAGTCCCTCACACAAGAATAGGTCCAGCTAGTCTTGAAAAAGGCAGGGAACTGTCGAAGGTAATGTAAGTCACGCAGAATGGTTTGTGCAGGTATGTAAAAAGCAAGCAAACAACAACCATGACTAGTCCCTGCTGAGCTTCGTTAGACCCAGCCAGCATGGGTCTGCCTTTCCCAGGACTAGTCCTGCAGAAAGTCCTGGATCGGTACTGTGTTAATGGATTAATACTGTATCGCTGTTTTGGTACAACTGCTCAGTGATTTGCCATGTCTTAGTATAAACTTGCTTGGAGTAACAGTTTACATGCAAATTAGCCTTAGGTCTTCATAAGGACATTTTTAGGTGAATTCCTGACACAGTCCATTGGGTTGCTACATTTCTGAAAAGCAAGGCTGTGAGGCAGCATCGGGAGCACAAAGCTCTCTTCCCAGCTGTACGGTGAGGAAACCCGCAAGTCTCTCTAGTTCCAGGTGGACCAAGATGTTGTTGGGTACAGGTGGACTTTCTTCTAAGCAGAGGAGAGTCTTTTGCACATTTCCAATATTTTGCACATTTCCAACCTATTGCCCGTTTCCAATATCTTTTTTCAGGGGGGTGGGTAGGAGGGGAGGATTGGGGATGTTGCACTTCCTCAGTGCTCTGCAAGCAAAGGATGGTTTTCAGAAAAAATGTCAGGATCAGTGGAAGGACATCTACAAATTTCCCACCTCTTCATTAGCTTAGGTTTTTTCCTTTTACTGATGAAGTAAATGCAAGAGTGCCTTCCCTTCCATTTCATGCCGAATTAAGTCATTCCCAAGAACTTGTGCTCCTACTCTGCAATAGGACAAAGTTCTATTGAAATCACAGTCATCCTTCCATGGCAGTATTTTATATACTTAGGACTATAACATTTTATTTTTCCTGCTCAAAAGTGGTAGGCCTGTGAGACCTGCTTAACCAGATTTATGAGCTTTACTTCTGCCACTGCTCAAAAAATACAGCCTTAGCAGAACTGAAGAAAAAGAACCCCCATGATTTGGATCCCATTTTGACTTATGAATGACTTGTTTGGGTGTGTTTCTTCTGTGTTTTTCATTCCAAGCTGTGGCCCTTGAACTAAGGAGTTTTCAGTCTAACGCAGAAAAAAAAAAAACAATCGCTGAGCCTTAGAACCGGGGCCTAG